ATATTCAATATGCTTTCTTTAATTTTGCAAATGGAAATGTTGTATCCAGAGCTTGTATTTATATGCAAGTTATTAGTTTCCCAAAGACCATATTGTTGACGTGTTTCKTATGATAAGTTTGAACTTTAAGAACTCATTAATACAATTAATAAGCCGCCTCGTTTATAACTTTAATTTTTAGAGTTATTCATTTTACAAAAAAAATGATTTTTATCCGCAAAAGTCAATCACTCAGAACATACAATGGTTAAAGTCGAATACAATGTTTCTCAAAAAAATACCAACAGATCACCCAGAAAATACCTGGGTAATCTGTCACTTGTTTGTGTTTCCCACCAGCTTTTGTGACGATTTTGTGAGGAATCACCCCTTCAGCGACGAATTTTCCAGGAAAAGATCCATAGGTAAAAGTCTTCCATTTTAGTAGTGTAACTAGGGATTATTGATATGAAGTTGTTGCTTATTATAGTACTTGAACATTTTTTATGTTAGTGTATTCATTGATATTTTTATTAACCTCGATATCGAACCTGCTATACGAACCGATTAATCCCAGGGTGACTACCTGCTTTGCAGATAGCCCAGAGTCAGGGCCGGTCCTAAGATTTTTTATGCCCTGTGCGAAAATAATAAAAAATGTCCCTAAGTCTATTTTTTTAAGCAAGTTAAACAAAGAAACATGCGATTTTTTAAAGAGTTTAGAACTTATTCAAGCTAATTGTCTCATCCCTATGTTGATTTTTATTAATTATAATAAAAAATACAAGGGGGGGGGGGGAATAAAAACCAAAACCTCTAATAGAAAATATAGAATGATAAAATGATAAATCTTGGATTAAGATCATGTTTCCTTCTTTTCCAGTTTTCCCTTTTCTAAATTGAAATTAGCAAAATAGAAACTTTATTTCAATATATGGACTATAACTAGTTTTTAACTAAAATGGTAAATTACATCCAAATTACAGTCATAATAAACAAAAAGTAAAACTCAAAAGTTACAGGTCTAACGACTAAAAGCTAAGGGTCTATATGTTWGCAACTTAATAAGCTTAATGGAAYTAACAACTYATTYGCTCAACTATGAATGACTGTTTCGTAGTGGCTTAATGATATAAAAAGTAACTTATTCATYAAGCTTCTAAAGGGAGCTTTATATAGAAAGCCAACTTTTCTTTTTTCTAAACATGTCCCTTCCAACTAAAAAAACTCTCCTTACATCTACGAAAAAACTCT